TAATTAAGTTACATGAAATTATAGTGAGCATGTGACGTAACATATAAGTTAATATGTAGGTAATTTACCATTGAGATGGTGTCCTTGTAGTAATCAGGCCAGTAATATCGAGATCTTATTTTTCTGGCTGTATTATCTCTTCCAACGTGACCACCGTAGTCAGATGCGTGGCATTCCATAAAAACTCTTTTTTTCTCCTCTTCACCTTTAATGACCATCAATTTTTTATTTTTGTCACAATACCAAAGAAGAGCCCTTTTCTCTTCGCCAACGAACTCCACAATAAACTTTTTACTCGTCCTTCGTAGTGAGTACTTCTCCGCTTTAGTAAGGTTTTCAGGATATTGTTGATGCAATTTGTAATTAACTATATTGTTGTAATGATTCTCATTCATTGTGTTGAATATAAAAGACTTTAAAAGACAAAGAACTCACTCAGCTGTAAGCTTAAAAGGTCACGAAGTCGTGCATGGAAATTCCCGCGCGAATTTAAAAGGTAGGGGGTCCCCCATTGTAAATGATAATTGGATGGGGAGGGGAGGGGAAACACATAACACTAGTGCCCAGTGTTCGGGGAAACACAAAACTCGGGGGAACACAAATCCCTGTGACAGCGGCCGGCGGCTCTTCGATCACAACTCGGCATCTCAATAAGCGCGCACGGAGTGCCGGGAAAATCTAAAAATAGCACCAAGAGGGGTAAATGCCGTTCCACAAGCCCATGTGGGCAGTAGCACATTTCTTTTTCTTCTTTATTTTTCTTTACTTTTCTTTCTTTCTTTTTTTAGGTCTTTCTTAATTGTTGTACTTGCAGAGGTTTAATAAAGTCTCTCCCAATATTTGTCCATGAGCTGAGCCCACAGCACAGATGACTGGAGTGCTTCCACACATGCTGACCCATATATCCATCCCTACATGCATTGCGTCACAAAGTTTCCCGCGGGTCATAACAAAGACTATAGTTTGCACAAGAAAGTGATGTCACATTGCCATTCATGTTGATTTATGAATTCAACTAACATTACGCTCAGGTTCAATATTTGGTTTTGAACGATCTCGTTCTCACTGATGTTTTTATTAATGCTTCTCTGATTTCATTCACTCTACGACGGAGAACAACACAACAATGCAATAGATGAGGTGACGGTTTTGGCAGACATCTTGGACCGGTAGGCATAGTGTCGCAAAATAACAAGAAATGACCGGGAAATCGATGTCAAATAATTCTCGCTGAATTCAAATTCGGAAAGAATTATTAATTGCAAACGTTAGATACTACAAAAAGGAGTTACCTGGCCAAACTTGAATGATGTACTTCATCTAGGGAGTGAGAATATTTATTTTTAGTTCTTTGTATTTTTCACGCGCGTCACGCGCTGATGACCCCGGGAATTGCGAGAAGGGTTTGTCGTACGACTTCCATATATGGTTGTGCATGCACGGCGCTGATGTGCACATAGAAGGCGCTGATGTGCTCGTAGAAGCCTCTGATGTCCCAATTACGTGGAGAAGAACTTAGAAAATTTCAAAGACTTCAACTTAAACCGAAAAGAAATTTTTGAAGAACGAATACTAAGATTCGAACCAGCGCTATGCATTGCCTAACCCGATATATTCCCTAAACCTAACCATTAAGCCAAGAGACCAATTTGCTTGAGTGAAACTGAATTTTTGTGATATTTATGCAACGGCATGCATGAATAACCACGCATATGTACATAAGATTGATTATATAATTAATGAACCATCTATAGGGACATGAGAGCCTTCTATAGGTACATTAGAGCCATGCATATGGACATCCATATATGGAAGTCGTACGACAACCTCTACTCGGAATTACAAAGAAATGTATGGGGAAATAAAAATGAGTTTACTCGCTCTCTAGATCAAGTACGTCCTTCAAATTTGGCNCCTCGTTAATTCCCTATGTGTTGGACCTATGACATCATTGGTCCAACTAGACCCATTCTCCTGAGCCAAATCGATGATCAGAGAAAATAATGGCGGTGTCACAGGGATTTGTGTTCCCCCGAGTTTTGTGTTTCCCCGAACACTGGGCACTAGTGTTATGTGTTTCCCCTCCCCTCCCCATCCAATTATCATTTACAATGGGGGACCCCCAGTAATAAATTAGCCAGTCATTCATAGGAGAATTCGTGCGGTTAAAACCTTAAAATCTTCAATTTTTTGCTGAGATTTGGAATATCGTCAGCGAGTGTTCTTCATCGATCGAATATCAGGTAGGTGATCAATTGACTAACAATTTTATATAAAGTTCAACACGTATTTTTAATAGAGAGAGTGTAACTAATGAGACATGCAATGCTGCTGAAAACAGCTCATTTTTAACTCAGATAAACTTAAATCAATTATTTAAAGAGWAGTTGTATAAGAATCGTTAGGGCATTTCTTTATTTGTGTCATTTAATCAAAATGTTATAAAAATCTCAAATGCTTGCCCGATAACTTCGAGTTACAACTGCAACTTAGTTTTTCAAACAAAATCGACTAGTAGTAAGGTTATAAAGCGAATAACTTACTAATGTACAAAATTGACAATTTCAGATGCCAGTAGGACCAATAGGTTATATTAATGTAAGTAATAWTAATGTAAGTAATAATAATGTAAGTTTTAATATAATATTTACATACACCAATACATCTTGTAAACAATAATTTGATGTTGGGTAAGGTTACGATGTAAAACTATATARCTAATAATCTAATAATATCTAATAATATATCAATTGGTATATACAAATAATCTAAAATTAAAATACAAAAAAGTACAAAAAACATTCAAAAGCAAGATCATAGTTTAGCTATACTGATCGAGCTATAGATATGATTTTAATTTCAAGATTAATATCACTACATGTTAATATATAAAATTTAACTGATATTTCGGTTGATACTCGTTTTCAAACATGTATATTAGGAAATTTACTATAAAAAGTTTATAATAAAAGCAGTTTCAATATTTCAGTAAGTTAAGGCTTAATATAGATGACTTTTATCCATGATTACAGGCCACATCACAATTAACTTTTAGTAATGCTTCAACAATGCAAAAGAAATCTAGCAGTTATTGGTCATGTGTACTGGTCATTTTCTCTCTAATGAGAATAAAYACAGCCTTACTAACTAAATGTCATGTATTAAAACTACTCGGGAACAATTATTTGCTTTGCTTTCAGGTGAGATTTCATGTCAAATWATGTCTCCTGGTGAAGTTCCAGCACCATAACCCTTCTGGCCGCATTGATGCTTGGCTGCTTAATCACTGGGATGTGAACTGCAAGAGATCTAGCATACATGCAAATAAAAACACCACAGTCGAAGTTATTGAGCTGTTGGGGGATGTCTTCAGGCAAGTTCACAGTAAATGACCACTCACTGGGCTTAAAMGATGGATCACATTGTAACAAGGACATAATCCTGTGCATCCTGGTGTAGGTGACAGGCTTGATGTGACTGCTCYCCAAGCTGTCTAGAACCAATATTTGTTTTTCTTTTGGAATCACAACAGCCAGCGCCCAGTGATGAGCATGAAGTAGTGGGATGAAAACGAGGTCCTGGTCCAAAGGATTATCTTTCCCTTTCAATAACTCTTTGAGATTTTATTTTTTCAAATTCTTCTGATTTGAAGAAGTCCACATTTCTCCCTTGTGCTGCACTTGCTAATTTAATTAATTTCAGGTATGCCTCAATAGTAAAATTACTTAACCATTTCTCTTCGTTTTTTTGGCAGTTGAAACATGAAAGGGATTTTAAATCATCTGTACTCACATTTTGATCCCCTTCAAATTTGATTTTGCCATTTACAATCATTTCTACCAGCAACTTACCCTGAGGTGTAAGGGTGAATTCAGGGCAAGATGCTATGAAACTTTTCCTAACACTATCAGGCAGCCCTTGTGATATGGTGATATGGTGACCTTTCTTTGTTCTTTTCGGTACCGAGGAGGATGTATGACCACTCTTTCGTTTCTTTATATTTTTTTCCTTTGCATTTGCGCGCTGTTGTTGTTTTTCCATAAAGTCGTCAACTTCAACTGAATCTTTGCTGTTTCTTAGGTATGATTCAGCCTCAGGTTTTGTCATGTGAAGAAAATTTTGTACAATTTTGATGAGACATTCAGGGAGGAGAATGTTTACTTTGCAATTCAGAGTTTGACGTGGAAAGTGTTCTTGTATAAGATCAAGCAAATCACCCACTTGGTCTTCAGGAAAACAGCCTGTGTGGACATTATATTTAAGATCTCTCCGTTTCACTTCTTGGGACTTTCCAGTGAAAACATCAAAGCGCCAGCTATTTCCTTTTCCTGATAACACATTTTTTAAATGGGGCAGGGCAGCTGTTTCGAATATTTTAATGATGTCATCACCTGTTAACATGCTCATGATTTCATTGTACCTGGATGTTGATCCNGGAGGTGGTCTGTGGTGCTGATGTTGGAGTTTTATTAGGAACTGAATAAGGCACAGGTGTGGCGGTTTCATAGGAGGTGGTCTGTGGTGCTGATGTTGGAGTTTTATTTGAGGTGGATTGTGGAATAGGTGAAGGACTTGGAATGGAGTTAGAATCACTTGAATTATATATTTTTAGTTGCTTCATGGGCACTTTTCGTTTAAGCACTTTGCCTGTGCTAGAACTTTTCAGTTTGCATGTACCATTCTTTTCATCCACCTCACACAGCTCATATGGCCCAAGCCAGTTATCCTCCATTTTGTGGCCCATCTTTGTTTTCTGTAACATGTTTCTCTTCAAGACCACGTCTCCTTCTTTAAATGGACACAAACCTCCTCTTTTTTTTTGATACTGAGATTTCTGTTTTTCTTGGGCATTGGAAATGTTTTGGGAGGCATTAGGGAATACTTCATTCTGAATTTTTTTAAGAGCCTCCATCCTGATATCAATGGATGTGGTTATTTCAGTCTCTCCATTTGAAATTTGTGTCTTGGTATCACTGTTGTTGCGCATCTCACTTTCAAGTGGGAATATGGGGTGACGCCCATACATCAAGTAAAATGGACTGTACCGTGTTGTTGAGCTGACATTTGTATTTATAGCAAAAACAGCTCCATCAAGATATTGTTCCCAGTTATTTGAATTATCATCCAGGAGTTTTCTTATGGTTCTATAAACAATTGATACAATAGCTTTAAACTACATGAAGGAATAGCAGTCTATTTTGGCATTGTTTTGAGCATGTTGTCTCTATTAGGTGCTGGATTAGATTGAACACTGCATCGCAGAAAGTTACTATCTGCTGATAGTGCACAGTATGATTAGTGCAAGCAAGCAGGCATGCTTCTTTTGCTTTTGTACATGCTTTCTATAAAATGTGGGTTCCTGTAGTTATTGACATGGTAGAAGGCCTGCTTATACTCATTTGAGTGTTCTGTTCACATCTCAGCTTTCTTTCATTTTGACATAAACCACAGGAAACATTTTATATTACATGTAGTAACACATGATTTTATTTTTTCTTACTTTTTCAATGTTTGGTTGGTTCTTTCATCCAAACCATTTGATTGTGGATGATAGGCAGATGTTATTCGCTGTGTAACATTGAATTTGTTCAATAGCTCCTCTGTAATCTGTAAGAGTTTACATTAATATTAGTTGCTGTATAAATTGGAACCTTTGATTGCTGTAATAAATTCATTGAACTGAAACATAGATTAATAACTTATAAAAACACTGCAGTATTTTTGTAACAAGTAGTTTCTCCTTTTAAAAAATTTGCATTCTGCATTGAGTTGCACTTTCTCTTTTGTACTAAACAAGGATGTGTCCAGCATTGTATAAAAGGGGGCCATGAACTTTTGTARCCATCAGCCTTTGAAAGTGAGATCCTGATAAGCAATTTCAAGCATTTTGAGGATTTTCACAACAATTTTTGCTCTTTTTGACTTGTAATTTTTTCATTCAGTAAAAGGGGTTAGTCTCCCCCTTAATCCACCCCTTCTATAATCAATATTATATTATTATGAACTACATTATTTCATTATTTGCATCACCTGATTGACAAATTCTCTTCCCTGATCACAGATTATATGAACAGYGGCTCCATGCCTGCAAAAAGATTTGAAGATTCCTTTTGCCACCCAAAGAGCTGACTTTTCTGGCATCGGGAAAGCCTCAACATACTTAGTAAAGTAGTCAGTTTGGGTTAAGACATACCTAAAATATCAATAGATCAGTMTCAATAAGAATTATGACCTTTAATTACAATGATTCATTGTCCACATGCAAAGCCTTTTATTTAGCTTTTGGCTTTTTATCCTACACAGTGCCACAGTGCAAATTCTGGGTCACCCATATTAATTACCAATAAATAAAGCTTTGCTGATATTATGTGATTATTAATGGATGAGTGATTATTTTATGATTATTTTAACAATAATAATTAAAATTTTGCAGATATAATATGATCTGCCTCATGTGTTAAACCCTGTAATCCGTAATTGACCTCTCTGAATTCCAGGACTTGGTATATCCAGGAACTCTGGATATTGAATCTGGAATAGTCAGCTCTTGGAATCTGGAATCTACATTAGGTCAGGACTCCTTTGCATAGGGCAAAATTATTATTACATTTGCTATMAGTAGAGTGCTCGCACTAAATGCGTGAAATATAAATACTACAAAATAGGTGATAAATTKTACAAATTRRTTTGTTTCCTATTGTATGATCAACACTATTTAGTAGTAATTAGTACTATTTGTTTCACGGTTTAAGTGCGAGCACTCTATCTAAATGAGCATCTAGTTGTTATATACCAATTATAATCACTTGTTTACCTATTTCCATTATCTGTTACGGTGTGAGCATCAATGAGGTCAATTCCTATCATATACCATGGRYTTGCTGTGACGGGAATTGGGTGCAGAACATCATGACCCTGCTTCTTGGCTTCTTTTGAATTTCTTTGGCACCGATCACAATGTTCAATCTTGTAGTTGATAAATAAA